TCCAGGAGTCGATAAATTCCTTGAGGCAATTCTGCCTCTCTAAATGACCACTTAGCTGCTTATTTTGCCATTTAATTTTTTTTAAACTATTGGTGCTTCATTTTTTTAAATATTTGTTTATTTGTGCATACAAGAATGGGGGTACAGGCCAGAGGTGTGGGGGATGAACGGATTCACCAAAGAAAGAGTGGGGAGCAGAACAGGTGGATTTTGACTGAAACCCACTGCTGAGGGGAGCAGCGGGGAGACAGGAGAGGTCTGCTGCCATCATCGTTTATATTCATGGATCTGCTGTCAGTTGGTTTCATTTTATGTCGTTTTTCTGAAAGTCACAGTTTTAAAAAACTTGTCCATGATGTTAAGTGAGGACTTAGTGGACTGACTGTTGTTTCCCTACCCAGACTCCCATCAAGGAAATAACCGGCGGCTCTGTTCCCACCTCCCCGCGCCTCCCCCCCTCCGCCCCCCCACTGGCCATATGTCCTGCCGGAAGTTAACTGAAGTAAAGGGCTGCTGTTTGATTGAAGGGAGCCCTCCTTGGGGCTCAGAGGATGCCCATGGTGGAAAGGTGAGGGGGGCTAATGATAGGTCTCTGGATTATGGAACCGAGCAACTGACATTATCCTCAATGGAGCTGATGGTGCTACGGTGCCTTAAAGGCAGACCACGGCAAGCTAGATAGAAACCAGAACCGTGAGGGAGCAGAAAAAATTAGAACAGAGGAAGCTGGTTGTCAGGGGCGGCAGAGGACAGCAACCTACTCCAGAGTAGTTGCCTGAGGGTCGAGCCTTGCCTCAGGCTTCCTCCAGTCCTGGATGATCTGGCTCCTGTTCTGGTCCATGTATATCTTTCATGAACATGCCTCCCTCTGGCCTTTTTTCCTGCAGAGAGAAAACTCTGTTTGGGTAGCCAGCGAAGCCTGAGCAGGCCCGTAAGCCCTCACCGTGAAGGCCATCGACCACCATCACTGACTGCAAGCCTGGTGATAAACATTTGCATATTGCCATGGAGCACCTCCGTCATGCATTTTTGCAGGTTAGAAATAATTTCATTAGAGACATTGCAAGACATAGAATCCCTGGGTTGAAGGATCTCAGTGTAGGGCCAGAAGGAACTGCAGAAAGATTGTATCACTTCGTAGCTCCCAGGGCAGGAGGGGTTGGTTTCCACCCTGTGACAAATGGCATGGAGGAACAAAATAAGATGTTGCTATCAGATGGCCAAGAAGCGAAAGTGGTCAGTTTGATCTGGACATGCATTTTCTGAAGCTTGTGTTTATTGTTCATGTCGACTTTGTCATTAGCCAGACCTGAATTCGACTTCCAGCTCTGACTCTTGCTATGCCGCTACAGTTGAATTAGGTACTTAGTTCTCCATTTTCTCCTCTGTAAATTGGAGATAGTCACAGTTCTTACTTTGTAGAAGTCTTATGATGCTCAGATGAGAAAATAAATATAAAACACTTACTCTGATGCAGCCTCAATACATTGCAGTTATTACAGTTATGAAGGGTGACAATCTGTGTCCATCAGGTAAAGCTGTGTGAGACATTTGATACCCAATGGGATATTGACTGGAATACCTGCTAGAATTGTGTGGTCACGGGCCTCCCCGGTGGTGCAGCAGGTTGAACCCAGTGCTGTGAAGCTGTCTGCAGCCTCCACAGTGCCGGTTCGATTCCTGGCCGGCCAGGGAGCAACCCACATGGCGAGCAGACCTCTCCTGTCTCGCCTGCTGCTCCCCTCAGCAGTGCTTTCGGTCCATCTGCCTGTTCTGCTCCCTGCTCTGTCTCTGGTGAATCCTCTCACCCTCCCGCGACTCTGGCCTGTACCCCAGCTCTTGTATTAAAAAAAAAAAAATTGTGTGGTCACGGGAATAAGAAACCATGCAAGAGCCCATTAGGCTCACAGCCTTTATCAATGCAGAGAATACATTACATATTTAGATTTTATCCATTACAAAAAATCTTAAGAATTAAAACTAGTGCCTCCCCTGGTGGCACAGAAGTTGAGCGCTGGGCTGCGAGGCTGCCTGCAGCCTCTGCAGTGCCAGTTCGTTCCCCGGCTGCTGGAGAGGGTCCCCCCCCAAAAAAAAAGAATTAAAATTAAAAACATGTGGGCCTGGGGCCTCCCTGGTGGCCCAAGGAGTTGGGACGCAGCCTATGAGGCTATCCGCAGCCACTGCAACACGAGTTCAATCCCTGGCCGGCCAGGGAGCTACGCACATGGCGCAGCAGACCTCTCCTGTCTCCCCGCTGCTCCCCTCAGCAGTGCATTTCAGTCAGTCTGCCTGTTCTGTTCCCCACTCTGTCTCTGGTGAATCCTCTCACCCTCTGCCACCTCTGGCCTGTGCCTCAGCTCTTGTATGCATGGATAAATAAATCTTAAAAACAAAACAAAACAAAACAAAACAAAACAAAACAAAACAAAACATGTGGGCCCCTCTGATGGTGCAGGAGTTAAAGTCTCAGCACTATCAAGCCATTGCCAGCCACTATGGCATGAATTTGATCGCCAGCCATGGAGCTGACCACATGGCACAGCAGTCCTCTCCTGTCTCCCTGCTGCTCCCCTCAGCAGTGGATTTCAGTAAATCTGCCCATTCTGCTCCTCACTCTGGTGAATCTTCTCACCCCTTCACCTCTGGCCTACACCCCAGTTCTTGTATGCATGAATAAATGAAAAGAAATCTTTAAAAAAATTAAAAACATGTATCTATCTGAAAAGTCAAGAAATATAAAATCAAATCAAAGGTAAATTGGGTAGAACTTAGATATCTAAGAGTAGTCAGAGGCTAAGGTCATGATTTTTTTTTTAAAGATTTATTTATTTATGCATACAAGAACTGAAGCCAGAGGTGTAGGCCAGAGGTTCAGGGGGATGGGGGGTAGTTAAGAGGACTCACCAGAGACAGAGTGGGGAGCAGAACAGGTGGATCTACTGAAATCCACTGCTGAGGGGAGCAGCGGGAGACAGGAGAGGTCTGCTGCGCCATGTAGGTCAGCTCCCTGGCTGGGGATCTAACTCGTGCTGCAGTGGCTGTGGATAGCTTCATAGTGCTGAGACTTAACCCTTTGTGCCACCAGGGAGGCCCCCAACTCAGAGAAGTTTTACAATTATATATAGGAAGACTCCATGAGGTAAAACTAATAGGAGACTATGTGGGTTAAAAAAATTTGTACATTGTTAACATTTTGTGCACTTGCAATATTTCAGAAAAATTGGCTTATTAGAGTGACAGCCTTATAACTCTTATTTTAAATGTATTGTTGAGTAGTTTTTTGTTTTTTGTTTTTTTTTTTATGGGACCCTCACCGGTGGCTGGGGAATGAACCGGCGCTGCAGAGGCTGCGGACAGCCTCGCAGCCCAGTGCTCAACTGCTGCGCCACCAGGGGAGGCCCATGGTTGAGTAGTTTTTTTAATTAATTAATTTTTTTTTTATTTTTAAAGATTTATTTATTTATGCATACAAGAGCTGGGTACAGGCAGAGATGCAGGGGGTGAGAGGATTCACCAGAGACAGAGTGGGAACAGAACAGGCAGACTGACTGAAATACACTGCTGAGGGGAGCAGCTGACCAGTCAGGAAAGGTCTGCTGCGCCATGTGAGTTTCTCCCTGGCTGGCTGGGGATTGAACTCATGTTGCAGAGGCCGCGGATTGCTTCATAGTACATTGCTCCCTTGCGCCACCAGGGAGGCCCATTGTTGAGTTTTAATTTAAATTTTGACTTTAAATCTTACTGTTTACAGGTGGAACTGTAAGAAACTTCAGATTCTTTATATTTGTAAATATTTTGATTGATAAGGATTACTAAGCCTTGAAAAGATTGTTGGTTAGATGATTAATAATTTAAAAAAGAAAAGTTAGGGCCTCCCAGGTGGTGCAGTGGGTTGAGCACAGCGCTGTGAAGCTGTTGGCAGCCTCCGCAGCACAGGTTCGGTCCCCGGCCAGCCAAGGAGCTACCCACATGGCGCAGCAGACCTCTCCTGCCTTGCCCGCTGCTCCCCTCAGCAGTGTACTTCAGTCAGTCTGCCCGTTCTGCTCCCCGCTCTGTGTCTGGTGACTCCTCTCACCCCCTGCATCTCTGGCCTGTACCCCAGCTCTTGTGTGCATAAATAGTGAATCTTAGAAAAAAGTTTTTAAAAAGTTACATCAGTCAGACTTTTCTTGAATACATCATCCCACTCCACTGCTCTGAAAAAAATTAAATGGAAAGCCTAGTATGTCAGGATCATACACACAGCTTTAAATATCTGAAAACGGCGAATTAACGAAGGTTTTGAAAGGGACCAAAAACCAGGTTCTGAAAAGGGCTGGTCAAATTTGCCAGGCTCGGCACCTGCAGCTCCGTCGGCCGGGCCCGGTGAGGGTGCTCGGCCCCGCGGGTTTCCTGGGTTCCCTGGAGCATTTTGCAGGGAGCGAGAACGCCGCAAACGGCGGAGGAACGCGCGCCTGGCCGGGCGCGCGGCCCGCTCCCGGGGCGGCGGGAAGGGACGCCCGAACGGGGACCCACGCGGCTACGCTCGGCGGCGACCGCGCAGCCGGGGGGGGGCGCCGGACGAGGCGAGGCGCGGCCACCCCGCGGGCGCCGGGGCTCGGAGCGGGGGACGCGCCGCGGCCTGCGGGCGACCGCGCGGCGGCGCGGGGCGCCCAGGGGCGCGGGGGGAGGCCCCGGGCGGCTTCGGGAGGGCGCGGCTTCCCGTCGGCCGCGCCGGCCAGCGTCTGAGGGGAGGGCGGGGCGGCGCCCCCTGGCGGCGCCCCTGGCGGCGCCCCCGCTGCCGGCCCCCGCCGCCCCCCGCCGGCCTCGAGGACGCCGCGGGGCGGGGCGGGCGGGGCGGGCAGCGGCGGCCCCGCCCACTCCCGGCACTCGGCGGGCGGGCCGGGCTGTGCGGGGCCTGCGCCGGGCCCGCCCCTGCCGGCGAGCCGCGCCCTGGGCGCGGCTGGCGGGGGCCTCGCTCCGGCAGCGCGCGCCTCCGCGTCCGTCCTGTCGTTTCCTCCTGCCGTCTGCCTCGTACCCGGTTCTTCTCCTGGTTCCTCAGCCGAGCCCGGCGCGGCCGCCATGTCCGCCAGCGACGAGGTTGACGGGCTGGGCGGCCGGGCGTGGCCCGGCCGCACACTATGGCTGTGAGTGCGGGCCGCGGCGGGCGGCGTCGGGCGGAGCCGGGCCGCGCGGCTCGGGCCGCGGGGCGGGGGGCCGGGGGCTCGGGGGCGGGGGGCTGAGGGTGTGCGGGGCGGCGGGGGCCTGAGGGCTCTGGGGCGGGGGCTGAGGGGGCGGGCGGGGCGCGGGGCGGCGGGGCGCCGGGGCTCGGGGGCGGGGGCTGAGGGCCTCGGCGGGGCCTGAGGGGCTCGGGGGCGGGGCTGAGGGGCGCGGGGCGGCGGGGGGCGGGGGCGGGGGGCGGAGGCTGAGGGGCTCGGGCCGGGGGGCGCGGGGCGCCGGCGGGCGGGCGGGCATGCAGGGCCGGGCTGAGGTGGCCAGCGCGGCGGCGCGCGGCGGGCGCGGCGCCCCGGTCCAGACCCGCCCGCCCGCCGAGCCGCCGCCGCCTCCCCCCGCCGCCGCGTCCAGGCGTCCCGGGCGCCCCCTCGGTGCCGCGGCCCCGGCCCGGCCCGGCCTCCGCCCTGCGCTGCCCCCGGAGCGGGGCTCGGGCCCGCTCCCGCCGCTGCCCGCCTCTGCGGGCTCGGGCTCCCCAGGGGCCGGGGCAGGTGCGCGCCCGCGGCGGGGCTCCCCGGGCCGGCGGGGCGGGGCGGGGCGCCCGCCCGCGCGGGGAGGAGCAGGAGGAGGTTTCGAGGGGTGCGGGCGCGGCGGGCAGGGGCAGGGTGGCATGGAGAGTGGGGGAAGGGCAGGGAGAGGGAGCAGGGTTGCCGCCCCGCCTGGCCCAGCTGGTCCAGGCCGTGGACGCCAGGGGTCTGGAATTCCTCCGCCGCCCGGTGCCCGCGAGAGGAGGCCGACTGCCCCGGCGAGCGCGGCGGCCGCCCGGGCAGACCCAGACTTCCCGGTTCGGAATCCAGGCTCCAGCGCTCAGTGGACTTGGGGCTCACGCTCCCCCAGCCTCAGTTTCCCCATCCGAGAACCGGCAGCGATAGTCACAGGATGGACGAGGCGCTGCGGGGAGAAAGTGCGTGTACAGTGCTGCGCTGTCCCCCGCTTCGTTCTCGGCTTGCCTGGGTTAGCAATAACAGGGCCACAGCCTGATGAGATCGGGGTTTATGGGGCAAATCTGGGCCAAAATCTCAAGTCAGCATTTTTCAAGGCACCCTAAAATGTAGTACTTATTCATGTCATACTGTTAGAGGGCAGGGAGAGGGGCAGCCCAAACCCCGCAAACCTGCCTACTCTAAGTGGGTTCTGCCATCCGCCGCATCCACACAAAACATAGGAGACTTTAATGAAAAGGAACTTTAATACAATTAGGAAACAACACAGGAAAGGCAGAGAATCTAGTTTCTAAATCCAGCACCCAGAGTGACCCGTCCCCTCGTGGGTAAAACTCCATCCATATGGGATCGGCCCAGAGCAAGGCCCCAAAGCCTGCCACAAGCCTAAAGCATCTTCCAGCGGGGACCCACAGAAAAGGGTCAGAAACCACCAGGCAGGTCCGGAAGGAAAAGAACAAAATCAAAATCAAGATACAAGCTGCCATGGTCCCCTCCCCATGGGTCTCACCTGAATCTGTGTCACCCCATCCACGACCAAAAGACATGTCTCTCCCCATGTCTCTCGGCTCCATGTGCCTCCTCCAGGTCTCCTTCTGGCTCCATCCTGCTTCCTTCCATCCTCAGTCTCCTTTGCAGCAGCTTCTCTCTCTGCTCAGCTCCACCCTCCTTTTGCGTGGGGCAGGGAACCTGGAACCTTCCCCTTTCCTGGGGATCCCCCTGTTAAAATACTTAAAAAAAAAAAGTTAAGAGGAATGCAGTTGAAAGCCCATAACTCTTCCCGGAAAGCCATTGGAGCACCCTGGCCCTCCTCACACCTGCAGGTCACCCCCACTCGGCTGACCCGTAGGAATGCACTGCCGTGGCATTCTTGCAGCCCTCAGGAAGGGTGCAGATTCTGGTGTTCAATACATTCTCTCTCGCCTGTTTCAGCCGTCCTGGATAACGAGAGGCTCACCGCGGAGGAGATGGATGAGAGGCGGCGGCAGAACGTGGCTTATGAGTACCTTTGTCATTTGGAGGAAGCCAAGAGGTAATGGCTGGCTGGAGAGCAGGTTGGGGGAGAGGAGCCGCGGGGCTGAGCCACACAGGCTCTCTGAGCATGCTGTGGGCGTGACTGTGGGAGGCTCGTTGGAAGGAGCAAGTGCAGAGACTGTGTCTCCTCAGGGAGCAAGTTGCCTTGATGGCCGTTTACTGTGAAACGTCTGAAGGGCATTTATGTATATCGAAAGATGCCCAGGTTTGTGTTGTTCAGCTTCATGCCCAGCGGTGCGTGGCGTGGTGACTACCCGTTGTAGGGGAGAAATAGTCGTGTAGGGTTTTGGGCCTTGGCCTCAATACTTCACGGATTCTTTGGTGGTTTTGAAGTGGGTCCCTTCTTCCACTTGGCATTATTCAGACAGTTCACCAGAGGCAGTGCCTCTGCATGCTTTGTGGGATGGTTGTACAACTGCTGTCATCTTTTTCAGAAGCTCCTAGACCTTGTGGTCTCAGGGTGTCCATTTTCTGCATGCAGTTCCTTTCTTTTGTTCTGTGCTTGTGTCCTTTGCTGGGTCCAGGGCTGCTAGATGTATTATTACAGGTCACGTATCCTGTATGTGAGCTCGGGTGCAGAGAGCACCAAGGGGTGATCATCAAAGTCTACAGGGAACAAGGTGATTCAAAGAGTAGTAAAAAACAAATGTTTTGTAATTTTGAAAATCTTAAAATGCTGCAGGAAAGGAGAGAGTGTGACCCAACAAACATTCCCACATTCTGGAACTAACCAAAGGTGGCCCTCACGGCCTCCCTTTTCCTCTTCACGGCACACTGCTGGAGTGCCCTCTGTCCCTTTCTGGCCCTGGCCTTCTCCCTGCCCACAGCTACCACTGATTAACATTTGGTGTCTCTTCCTCAATCAGTCTGCTTTTAAAGTCTTTCCTGGAGACTGGGGAGGTGCTTGGGGGATTATCAGCGATTTAGGTGGGGAGAATGATAATAGCACTTATCTTTCTAAATAGAAGGTTAGGCAGCAGGAGGTGAATCTGTTATTAAAAAGAGTTGCTTCTCATACAAAGTTTCTAAGGGCCTGTGAACAAAAATAAGCCCACTGCTATTTAAACTGTGGGAAGTCAGAGATTGAAGGCTGTGCCTCGCCAGAGGCCAGCGAGTGTTTTGTGAGGTGACCTGGAGCTGAGAGGCGCCTTCCTTTCCCCACCAAAGCACTGCTGCTTTTGTTTGACTGCTGGGCTTCCCCTGTAGAATCCCTTCTTTTTTAAAAATTCCTGTCTTTACAGAGGTATCTGGGCTAACACGCTCTTGCCACGCCCCATCTAGTTCATCCATCTCACTTTAGTGAGAAAACTGAGGACCGAGTTTTCATGATCTCCTGGTAGTTGTCTTGATCAAAGACTGGTTTTCATTTTATACAGAGGTTCTTAGCCAGGCATGTACACTAGAGTCACCTGGGGAGCCTTCCCCCAGAGATTCTGGTTCAGTAGTTCTGGGTCAGAAGGTCCTGACACTTGTGTATTTTATTTTATTTATTTTTGAAGATTTATTTATTTATGCATACAAGAACTGGGGTATAGGCTAGAGGTGCCGAGGGGTGAGAGGATTCACCAGAGACAGAGCGGGGAACAGAACAGGCAGACTGATGAAATACACTGCTGAGGGGAGCAGTGGGCAAGACAGGAGAGGTCTGCTGCATCATGTGGGCAGCTCCCTGCCTGTCCCGGGATCAAACTCCTGCTGCAGAGGCTGCGGATAGCTTCACAGTGTTGTGCTTAACCCCTTGTGCCACCAAGGAAGCCCCAGATAATGTGGTTTAATTCAACATTCTTTTGTTATAGTATTGATGAGAAAAAGCAATCCTGGCCAGTGTCGAGCAAAATGACATTTTCAGAAGACCTGACTTCACTGTACATCATTCTGTTTAAAGTCTCCATTTCCAAGAACCTATCGACATTAAGTGAGGACTTACTTCCTTATTCTCTAGATGTTCTTTTCTGTCAGGTGTTTTTTCCAGCTAAGAAAAGTAACTCTTTTCCTTTAAAACCTACCCAGTGGGCCATGATCCTGAGATTTTTAGTTGGGTGCTTTTGCATACTAGGAAGTGACTGAGGTGGTGAGACATTGGTGACAGTATTTTTTTTTTTTAAAGATATATTTAATTATGCATATCAGAACTGGGGTCCAGGCAAGAGGTGCGGGGTGGGGTGTGTGTGAGAAGATCACCAGAGACAAAAGTGGGGAGCAGAATGGGCGGATCTACTGAAATACACTGCTGAGAGGAGCAGCAGGGAGGTCTACTGTGCCATATGGGTCAGCTCCCTGGCTGGGGATGGAACTCATGCTGCAGTGGCTGCCAAAAGCTTCATAGTGCTGAAACTTAACGCCTTGCGCCACCAGGGAGGCCCAGGTGACAGTATTTTTACGTGTTGCTCTACAAAGGAGGGCATAGTCATGGCATATTTCCCTGGTACACTCTGTCCATTGGCCTGGCCACATGGAAATGTGCCTAGTTTTATGGAGACAGTCATATAAAATCTGGATGCAGTGATTAATTTTTTCTTAGAGTTTACATGAGAAAATCAACTTTGGGAGCACTTATTTAGACTTCCCAGCTAGACAAGGCGAGGAAGAGAAGCCTGGGAATGTCACTGAGAAAAGACAGGGTTCCCTACCTGCCACTTATTGTGCCTGCTGCCACCCCTAAACTGCACATGTCCTGCAGACAAGTCCATGTTCTCCTGTATAAGCTAGGACTCCAGCTCCTCGGATTCCTTGTTCTCATCAATACATAGCAAAAGAATGTTGAATTAAACCACATTATCTGGGGCTTCCTTGGTGTCTCCTTCCCTGGTGAGCTGTACCTGTGTGCTGGGGCCCCTCACCCCCAGTAGCACAAACCCAGTTTGGCTTCTTGAATTGAGCCCATCCTGTTTCCTTCGTAGCCTCCACCCCTTCCAAGCTCGAGGAGCCCCACGGTCTGGAATTTACACCAGCTTGAAGGTTAGGAAGAAAGATCAGAGATCCAAGGGAGAAAAGGTTCCCTTCTTTACTTCTATTTATAATCCTGCTCCTGCCCCAAAAACTCCACCTACAGTACAGTGGCCCCTTTGTGCTCCCCAGGGCCTCCACTTGCTCCTGCGCCTGTGGTAGGGTTTTCCCAGCAAAGAGGAGTGTCTAGGGAGGGTGAATTTGAATGTGTGAGTGTGAGAGTGTGGAGACAAATGAGCATTGCATAAAGGGTGTGGGTGTGTGTTTCCAAGGAGGGTAAGGACTGATTCCATAGCGTGTGCCCTGGGAGTAGCTGGAAAGCAGAAAATACAGAGATTCGGCTTTTCTTTGTCTTTAGAGAAAAACTTCACCTAGGAAATTAGGTATTATTGCTACTAATAATACATCTAAGGATTTTTTTTTTTTTTCAGGTCTTTTTGCTGAGGGCAACAGAACAGATCAAGGACTTTTTACTTTTTATTTATTTATTTTTTAAGATTTATTTATTTATACAAGCACTGGGTACAGTCAGAAGCGCGGGAGGTGAGAGAATTCACCAGAGCCAGAGCAGGGAGCAGAGTAGGCAGAAGGAAACACACTGCTGAGGGGAGCAGCGGGTGGCAGGAGAGGTCTGCGCGCCATGTGGGACCCTCCTCCGGTGGCGGGGAGCAGCCGGGGATGAACCGGCGCCGCAGAGGCCGCGGGCAGCTTCGCAACCCAGCGCTCAACCACTGCGCCACCGTGGAGGCCCTATTTATTTATTTTTTAAAAGATTTATTTATTTATGCATACAAGCACCAGGGTACAGGCCACATGTGCGGGAGGGTGAGAGGATTCACCAGAGACAGAGCGGGGAGCAGAACAGGCAGATCTACTGAAATACACTGCTGAGGGGAGCAGTGGGCGAGACAGGAGAGGTCTGCCACACTATGTGGGAATCTCCCCAGCCGGCTGGGAATTGAACCTTCGCTGCAGAGGCTGCAGACAGCTTCAGAGCGCTGCGCTCAACCCGCTGCGCCACCAGGGAGGCCTAAGGGTTTCTTTTGTAGGAGGTGGCCTGGAGCTCTTCGTTTAGATGAGAAAATTAGTTAAATCACTTCATGGAACCCAGGGTGATTGAGCGACCACACAGAGTTACCAGGTGGCGTGTTGGGACATGAGCTGGACACACCCATGTGTGCGCATGTCAAGGGGAGGACAGGCTGGATTTACTCATAATTTAAAATGGGATATAGTGGCAGAGGTGGAAACCTCCGCTCTCTCTCCTGAAACTTACCTTAGTGCACCTGCCTTGGACAGACTTATGGTGAGAGGTGGGTTGTGTGTAAAAGTGAATTTGTTCAAGTGGTTCAGAGCTGTCAAAGAGGCTTTTTCACATGGCAACAGTGTGACAAAGGAGGATCATCCCAGTGTGGCTACCAAAAGCCCAGTGATAGGCCCTGTAGCTGAGACACTGAGCAGAAGTTATTGTTAAGAAATGTGGAGAGTAGGGGGCCTCCCTGATGGTGCAAGGGGTTAAGCACAGCACTGTGGAACTATCCATAGCCTCTGCAGCATGAGTTTGATCCCTGGCCAGGGAGCTACCCACATGGCGCAGCAGACCTCTCCTGTCTCCCCGCGGCTCCCCTCAGCAGTGGATTTCAGTCCATCTGCCTGTTCTGTTCCCCACTCTCTCTGGTGAATCCTCTCACCCCTTGCACCTCTGGCCTACACCCCAGCTCTTGTATGAATAAATAAATAAATCTTTAAAAAGAAAAAGAACTGTGGAGAGTGGGCCTGGTCATAGTAGGCGGTCAGCTGGCCAGTCGCTGTGCTTATTACTATGAAAAGTTATGACTGGAGTCGCAGAGTACTCCTAGTTGAGGAGACCAGAACTTTAAAATGTCTGAGAAAAATATTGACTGTTGAGCTCTGTGAAGTGAAAAGAATGAGAACTTTCAGTTTTGGCAGGTGTCGGTACTGATTCTGGTTTCGCAAGTTGCTTCGCCTCAGGGAGTGAGCCTAAATTTGTCCTGCGCTCAGCGGTGATACGGGGCATCTTCTCAGGCTGCT